AAACACAAAAAAAGTACCCACTCCTTCCCATGTACCCCATTTGCTCAAACAATCTCACAAACTACCCCAACATGCCACGAACCCTAAAATATTTCTTACAAACTGTATATTTAGATCAATAAATATCTGTATCTTTTTGTAAGGTTACATTTGATTCTTCTTGATGAATTTGTTACTTGAAGTATATATAAATTTTGTTTAGGTGAATGAAATGAATTCGGGTGAATGAATTGAATTGAATTTAAGTTATTACTTGAAGTATATAAAAATATTGTAAGAGAAATTATTCTGTTACAATGTTTTTGATTTCTCGTTTTAGGCCTTTTTTATGGCCTTTGCATACTGGTCTCAGACCACGTACTATGCATTACCATAGAAAAAACTTTACACTTTATTTGAATTGAAAGAAACATTATGTTTTAATGATAAAAGAGTAATATTACCAAGAGACCAAGATAGTTGCCACGACTGACTAAAAAAGATGAATACAAACTCAAATAACAAAATTTATGAGAAGGTACAATCCTTCTTGTAAGTCATTGAAAACATACCTTACTTATCTAAGTTCAGGAAAACCTCTTTAAAAACAACATTCCTTGTTTTGTTTGAAATCTTTCCATCTTTGTCTACTATAAGCACTTTCAAACTTTTCTTAGAAGTAACACGTGATAAAGCAACATATAGCTGGCCATGGGAAAACACATCTCTTGGCAAATAAAGACCTACCTCACTTAGCGATTGTCCTTGGCTTTTGTTAATGGTCATAGCAAAAGCAAGGGATAAAGGAAATTGTCTACGACGCATTTTGAAAGGAAGTTTAGTATCCGATGGTGATAAAATGATTTTTGGAATTAAAACTTTATCACCGATCCTGTCACATGTGATAGCCATTGCCTCTAACACGTGATTCATCATCTGTGTTATCTGTAGACGTGTGCCATTACATAAGCCTTCTTTACTGTCTATATTTTGTAATAGCATAACAGGAGCACCAACCTTCAAATGTAGAATATGGTTAGGCAAACCGGGTATAGTGATAGAGTTTAAGAAATCGGGTGTAAAAAATGGATTTCTTTGTGAATCAATATCCGTAGGATCTATACTGTCCGTACTCCTATAAACCATTTCTTCACCTAAGGCAAAACAAACATAAAAAAATAGAATCTGTCATATAAACGCTGAAGTATTTTTAAAAAATTGGTCACAAATAAAATGTTAGAAAAAGTACTCACCTTTCAACTGAGTAAGCATAATGAGGTTCAGTTTATTAACATCCTCATTGGTTGGAGCTAATATTGCTCTCCGTTGAAAGAAAAAAGGATCCTTTTGCTCATGCAACAGATTTGGATCGCCATATATTTCTCGACTGATTGCTTCAATAGGATCAGCTACTTTAGTAATCAGTAATTCTCTAGGAATCTCAATTACAGCCTCACCATCGTTTGGTTATGAAATCTTCCCATCTTCAACAGCCAAAATCCACTTTGAAAATTCCTCTATTAAGTTTGACTCATCATTTTTGAAATTGTTGTTTAGTAGTCTCATATTCTTAGTTAGCTTCAACACTTTGCAATGATCCCAAAGATAGGAAGAATTTAGAGCAGACAATACAATTTCCACTCTACCTGCACCATTGATCACATGAAGTACCTGCCTGAAATCCCCTCCAAAAACAACAACCGTTCCTCCAAAAGGCTTGGTCTCTTTAAGATTTAGTATATCAGAGAAACTTCTATCTAAAGCCTCAAAATAGTACTTGCTCATCATTGGCACTTCATCCCATATTATAAGGGAAGCCATCTTGATTAATTCAGCAAGATCAGATGTAGGACTAATAGAATAGGTAGAAAACTCATTGGGGTTGATTGGTATACAAAAACGTGAATGGGCAGTCCTACCACCTGGTAGCAGCAAAGAAGTAATCCCACTAGAAGCCACGTTAAGAACAATCATCCCTCTGTACCTAATTGCACCTGATAGAGTCTTCCATAGAAACGTTTACCCGGTGCCACCAAAGCCGTATACAAAAAATATTCCTTGTTGTTTTTAGCACACAGCCAGTTATTTGATCATAAATTTTTTTAGTACTCATTCACCATGTTTCTCCTTCAAATCAATACGATCATATCTTAGTTCATCAAAAATTAAACGGTTGAAATTGTCAATACCGGCTCATTTTCCTGAAGAGTGTAGTTTCTCTTCTCAGCTTCTGTTCAAATCAGTCCTGGAAAAAAATAAACAAAAATTAAATACATTGATTACAAAGATCAGTAGACATACAATAATAAAAGGAATAATATCACTTTGACATACTTTCTCAAGTTTTCTTTCACAATTAGATACTTTCATCTTTCAAAAATTTTGTTTTTGTGTGTTATTACCTAAACACCCTCACTCACTCTCTCCCTCACTCTCTCTCACGCACACACTCTCACCCACACACTCTCTCTCTCTCCTCTCTCTCATTTTCTTTTTATAAACATTTTAGTTATTTAATATAACGTATTTTGTCTATTTTATTATATAATAAATTAAGATTTATTTTTCCTACATTTTAAGATCCATTGTTGCTATATTTTAAGTAAATAATTATATTACATATTATCCATTTCCGATTGAACATTTATTTATTATTAAATGGATATTAAAAGGTACTTGTACAAACATATTATACGAATATTTATAACTACTAATTATCCAAACATGTGAGAAAAGGTGAATGCAAAACTTTAAAAAACAAAAATGTCGTTGTATTAATTCAAGAGTTCTGATATGATCTGATTCAAATAAAAGAGAAGAATATGACAAGTAAGGTGTCCATCAAAGATTGTATATATGGATGATGACAAGTATGTTGTCTATCTAGGTCTTATTAAGTGTGTTTAGTGAATTTGATCTAAGCAATATCATTTGACCATCTAAGTGGACATGTGTTTATGGACAAGTGTTAATGGACAAGTGTGGCCGAATCTAAGTGGATGATCTGAAAGTGTTTAGAGGACATTAAATCCATTATGGTGCTGCTAGTTGTTATGGTTTCCCAGGCCTGCAACAAGTCTTGATGATTTTCAATTAGCCGACAATACATATGGTCTTCACCAAGCATATACAGTTACCCAAAACCTACTTTTGTTTGTGTTTTTTCGATCTGGTGGTTTTTTAAGTCATCCATTTGTTCGAATCCAGTGGACTAATACATAGACGGTATGAACATGTTGAAGCGAACAATTGTTCACAATGTCATGGATGGTATGGTTATTAATGAATCAAATCAGATCAGAACTCTTGAATTAATACATCTTCATTTTTTGTATTTTCAAGCTTTGCATTCTCCCTCTTTCACCTGTTTGGATGATCAATAGTTATAAATACTAGGGATTAATCCGGGCTACGCCCGGTATATTTTACAATTGATATTTTTAGTTAGTTAAATATACCGAAAAATCATGTGATATAATATTTAAAATTTTAATTTTAAAAACTATATGGTACTATTAATGGTTTAAATTTGTCTATGTATGATTATTTCTTTGTAATTGATTTATTTCAAACTTTTTAAAAATTTTCATTCACTATTAATCTATATAATAGTTTACACATAATATATCTTTCTGGTAATATATTTTCCAATTGACTACTCTATTTTTTTTTTTTAAATTAATATCTATTTAATGTTTTACATCCTTAACAAATTAAAACAACTTGTCAAATATATTATTACTAACTTATAAGTTTATAACGCATGATCGTTCTCAATATCCCAAAATAATAGTAATTTATTAGCTAGGAGACGTAGAAGCTTTTCTGTAAACAAACTAGATTGTTACCCGCGGTACACCGCGGGTTAATTATTTGATTTTTTTTGTCTTTTTATAAACTGATGAATTTGTTGTATATAATATTTTTTGTTGTATATTGCGAGTCACATGCGTTGTAACTAAAAATGAAAATTTTAAGTTGTATTTGTTTTGTTTAGTGTTTAAAATTGTATAATTGTATATTTTGATTTGTTAATCCCAGGATTTCACCCGTGATATATTATCCCGTATTAATATCAATCCAAATCCGACCCGTCCCACCATATAATCATGTCCCGTAAAATTAAACATCATTTTGTTATTTCTTTTAATAACACTTTTATTTAAAAGACATATAATTCGAGTCAATTTAAAAGTTTGCTTTCAAATAGTTTCTATAATATATATATATATATATATATATATATATATATATATATTTCAAATTAGTATGTGTTTTTAGACCAACCCGTAAAAATATTTTAAAAATGTATATTAAAATACTAAATAATTGTATTTCGATTTGTTAATTTTAAAATTTCACCGTGGTATATTGTCCCGTTTTAGATAATTGTAGAAATTAAAAAAATATCTGAATGACTCAATTCCGGGTCAGAGTAAAAAAAAAATACGACCTGATTAAACGCGCAAATTTGTTTTTCAAAAATGTTAATATAGATTGTACACATATTTTTTTCTTCATCGATTGTGTAATATATATCCGTTTTAAAAAATTTGAATCATAGCATATGCAGAAAAAAATCAAATTTTTTTTATTAAGTATATATATTTTATAATAGTTCAAAATAATATAAATATAAGATCATATAAAAGTGAAATGAGAATCATATATTTATGTTTTAATTAGGTAGAGAGGTTTTTGGAAATTAGTTCAAATTTGTTATATTAGCATTAAATAATCATATTTGATTTCTATATCTATAAAAATTGTAGAGAATATGCCATAAATAAAGAGTTTAGGTATAGTAATTAGTTGAGAAAATATATATATATATATTTTTTAGATTTTATTGATTAATTTTCGTTTTTTAATTTTGTCAAAAATAAGGAAAGATCCGATTGAAGATTTCCGGGTCAAAATTAAACAAAATTTGACCCGATTAGGAACCCCAAAAAGTGTTGCAAAAATGTATAGTAGATTACCAAACTCATAACTTAAAAGTCGAAAATCATATGCTACTAAATACTAATTATATGTTAGGAAAATTCCTCAAGCAATTATATATAATAATTTGAATCGTCAAGGACACCAATACTCTAATGATTTTGATTATTTGTTTAGCCAATAAAGCATAGAACATCAATTCTGATTGTCTGTTTTCTACGATTATAACCTTGAGTATGTTTCTTGTTTACTTTTTCATCAGATTCATCACGCCAATTTGTTCTTTCTCAACTATGCTTGGACCTTTACCTTTCATTACAGTTGCATAGTAAATTTGCTCAGGGTCTCTTTATCTAGACATGACAAGTTTAACTTTGAAAACAACAAAACCATGAAATAATTTGGGGTTTACATTTTAAATGTAAAATAATAGAATTTGGAGAAACAGTATAACTGTAAGTGACTATGATTCGTTACGGTTTTGGCCGTGGCTGGTAGCACCCGAGTATAGTCATTTACGCTCATCATCATCATCACCACAACCATCATTTCTCTTTGCTTCGATCACCACCGCTAGAATTGTTAACATTCAACCTAACACTAAAAGCATATATAAGTTAGTCTGAGAAACACTAATATTGAAACACTAATATTATAAATGTTGAAACATTATAAATGTTGAACTGATTATAAGCGTGGGTATATCTTAAGATTGAGTAAATTTGGGAAACAAAATATAAATTGACGATCTGCTTACTTTAGGGAGTGAAAGTATAGTATATAACTTAATGTAGGAGATATATATACTCTCATCCAGCAAGACCAGGCAGTTACCAAAGTATCTAATGACGGAAGTCTAAGTTGAGCCCTATACCTTTGAGAACATGAAAAATATAGAACTGATCAGATTTGACCAATCATCGAGTTGCTGCACCTTGAGGATTTGGGGAAGAAGTGTAGTCTCACAATATTGATGCTGGTCATCTTCGCTAGAATAAATATAATAGTTTCTCGTGTCAGATTTCCTACTACCATTAAAAGTTGTAAGCAAAAAATTTGAAATTCGTAAAATCCCTACACTTGACTTCGTTGAGAGTTGCTATAGCTGACACACCTACACAGATTTCGTGATAAGCCATTACAAAGATCTATAACTCCTAAAGCGTTGAGGAATTTGATGCTAGTGCCAACATATCAGCCAACATGAGTCACACCAAATGCAACTCTTTATCCATTGGATGTGGAAAAAAAAACATGGATTAGAGAAACTCTTAGTTTAGAGTAAACGTAAACAGTTGAAAAAAAAAGGCTAAACGTATACACCATAGAGCTTTTGTGTTGAATCATCAAAAACCAATACAAACCGACTTGGTAATCCACTTAAAACTATGTGTTGATAGAGAGTATGGGAAAAAGATCCAAGGCTATGAGAAAATCTATATTAAGTTTTTCATATTTCCTTCGAAATCTCAAGCTCGGGATGAACTACGTACCATCAATATCCATTGAATATTGCAGTAAACCATGTCTACCATCGATGAGTTCCTGAAAAGAAAGAGAGGAATGATATATATTTTTTCTGTGATTCAGCATCAAGTTTTGTGGAGGACTGTAATTAAGCAGAAAGAGAATCAGCATACAGGGCGAATATGGTTTAGTAGTGTAAAAATCCTGTCAAGTTCTTCGAATCATAACAAAAACACAACATGTATATCTTTTACACCTTAATTGATTATTGGATGGTAAATCATAGTCGGAAGACCAAACAGAAAAGAAAGCTAGCAAGAATCTTTGAATTTCTCTACAAACTCAATTTCGGTTAGAAATTGCTATACTTGGTTATGATAATAACTTTTGGCAAGATTACAGGAAGGCTCGGAGATAAATTTAGAAGTCTTTTTAGTACGCTAAACACTCTTGAAAACATACCCAGTTCTGTCGTTCTTATTTCTCGCTTAACTCGAGATGCATTCACCTTTTGTTGAGTTCAATTTTTATGGAAGACCTTGTTGATCATCTACTGACTCGATGCTTCTCCATACCCACACAAACGTTCAAAATGGAGGATGTCTCTACATGAGCAAGACAACATCAATTCAACATATGGGTCAAATATACCACAATTTCGGACACCTATGGAAAAGAAGAAGGACGATATATGTGTCTTTCTTACCTATATATGATCGTGGCCTTTTGGTTTAAACATGAAAGGAGAGGAGCTTCAAACCACATGTATGGAAGAGATCATGGCTTGTGGGAGTTGATGAGTTTATGGCTTGAAAGTTGAAACCCTGTTTTAATTAGTGTTTGTGGCTGAACGTTTCTAGGAGAAGGGGAAAAGGCTATTTGTTTTTGCTATTATGCAAGATGCCGATTGATTTAGATGACGTGGCTAATTTTCGAGGTTTTACCTTATTTGCAAGAGAGATAGCTGACGTGGCACAACGTAGATGAATTTTTAAAAACTGATGTAGAGAGATAGCTGACGTGGCATAACGTAGATGAATTTTTAAAAACTGATGTGGATAGGCTGAGAGGCCTCAATCAGTACCTTTTATTAGTAAGAGATTGGTATGGTATGTTTGACTATCACAGTGTTATTAAGTGTGTTTAGTGAAATTGATCTAAGCAATATCCTTTGAACATCTAAGTGGACAAGTGTTAATGGACAAGTGTTTATTACCGAATTTAAGTGGATGATCTTAAAGTGTTTAGAGAACCTAAAATCCATTATGATGTTGCTGGCTGTGATGGTGTCCCAAGCCTGCAATAAGTCTTGATGATTTTCACTTAGCCGACAATACATATGGTCTTCACCAAGCACATACAGTTACCCAAAACCTACTTTTATTTGTGTTATTTTCAAGCTAGTTGTTCTTTAAGTCATCCATTTGTTCTAATCCAGTAGACTAGTACATAGACGGTACAAACATTTTGAAGCGAACAATTGTTCACAATGTCATGGATGGTATGATTATTAATGAATCAGATCAGAACTCTTGAATTAATACATCTGCATTTTTTGTATTTTCAAGCTTTGCATTCACTCTCTTTCACCTGTTTGGATGATCAGTAGTTATAAATATTGGTATAGTATGTTTGTTCAAGTACCTTTTAATATCCATTTAATAGTAAATAAATGTTCAATCGGAAATGGATAATATGTAATATAATTATTTACTTAGAATATAGCAACACTGGATCTTAAAATGTATGGAAAAATAAATCTTAATTTATTATATAAAAAAAATAGACGAAATACCTTATATTTGGTAACTAAAATGATAATAAAAAGAAAAAGAGACAGAGAGAAAGAGAGAGAAAGAGAGAGAGGAAGGGCAAAATTGTATTGATAAATGTTGAATAGTGGAAAAAGATGAAAATTTAGAAAAATGTCTCTTTTGATACAAAACTCAGAAAAAGTATGTCAACATGATATTCTTCCATAATAAAATTAATTGTTTTCGTCACTTTTTTTTTTTTTTTGGTCGGCAACTGGATTTCATTAAAAGCCCAAATGGGCAGATCTCTAAATTAAACATTGAAGCCCAACCGATGGGCCATTAGATATGACAACCACATGAGAAATAATGACACGTGTATACACATGCTAACCTCGAGTTAAAAGAAGGAATCGCCGCCGTTACTCAACCGCACGAGCACTCTGGAACAGCTTGGAACTACCGCCATCGGAACAGAGAGAAACCGTGATTGGTGGAAGCCGGAATCTCTCTCTCTAGGTGAATTATTATGGTGCTGTTCGTTTCTCCATTCAGATGGATCATCTGAATGGAGATGAGTTATGATGTTCGTTTATAACAATTTTACAGAGCAGTGAGATGAACCAGTTGGATAATTTTTATCAAACTCTACCAAAAAATGATCATTTTCCGACTGAGTCTGATCGGAGCAGTTGACTGGAGCTCATTCAGTCTAAAATACAAAATGACCTAAATACCCCTATCTAATTTGGAAAATTACACCAAAAAACCTAAACCTACTTCTCATCATTCATTCCACGACAAAGACTCAGAGAGCCATCCTTCGACAACGTGAGAAGAGAAACGAGATCCTTCGCACCGAAGCTGGATCTCTTCGCAGCTGGATCTCTCCGCCGGATCTCTCGCCGGAATCCACTCCTCTTTGATCTTCTCACTCCACTCCACTCCTCTTTGATCTCTCCGCCGGCTGTCTTCTTCTCTCTCGTGCGTGGATTTAGGTGTTACGATTGAATTAGCTGCGACCATTGTTTGAGAGGTAAGACTCATGGCTTTGATTATTGGATTTGATTTCTCCTTTAGTCATTGAAATCTCGAAGTGGGTTTCAGGTGTTACGGATTGAAATCGCTGCAACCACTGTTTGAGAGGTATGATATATCTCTAATTCATGATTTTGTATTGAGTTTATGTGTACCAATGGAGACGAGTGTTGTGGCTTTGTTTGATTTCGTGTTTCTAATGCTTATAGGCTATTATCGTTTTTGATGTTTGATTTTGTATTGAGTTGATCTGTTTCACCATCTAAAGCTGCCATTGTTTGATGTTTGATCTGTTTCACCATTTAAAGCTGCCATTGTGTGTTTAGTTTTGTGGCTTCTTCGTTAGTGTTTAGTCTTTTTAGGTGTGTCAGTGCACCAAACTAGCTTTAGATGAAACTTACTTTCTTTGGTTTACTGATTACTGGGATTTCAAGTAGACATGAATCTTGAGCTCTAAGCGGCTAATGCACCAACTTAACTTTAGATGAAATTGCTTGGATTTTGGCCTAACTCTGTCTCTATTGTGGTACTAAAGATCTCTAGTTAGTGCATGAGCGCAGGCTTCTCTTGATATTTGGATGCGCCTGCAAAAAAAAAACATAGTTGTTCACTAGAGATCTCTTAAAATTTTCAAAATCTCTAAGATAATGAGAACTTGATCATCTCCTTAACCACAAGATTTCAAGTGAGATTTTAACCACAAGATCATCCACTTTGTTCACTAGCTTTTTAAGTGTGTTCTGGAAATCTGAGAGTTCCTTCCTTTAATGAAACCCCTGTTATATGACTTTTTTGAGTTTGATTTGTCTGCAACGAAGCATGTAAATCCAGGAACAGCTTTGCTTCTGTTTGTGAATATCTTTCTCTCTTTTTTGTTCTATAAATTTGAGTCTGTTTTGGCCTCATTTCTTTTACTGAATAATTTGATTGAGTCAGCAAATTAGTCTGAATTTCTTACGCAGCTTTGCTTGTAATGTCTGTTCGAGTTTGGTTGACTCCACCATGGTTTATGGTACATTATCATCATGTGCATGTTGCATTATCATTCAAGATAGTGTCTTGTGAACTCTAGTGTCTAGTGTCTTGTGTCTTTCATGTTTCTTGGGAACTCGAGTTCTCGCCGATATCTCCACTAGATCTGTCGGCTGTAGATGTTAAAATAAGAGTTAGACCGTTATATTTCTTGTTGTATATGTATATATAAATGATACCCTCCACATTCTCTGACCTCTTTCAAAATCTGAGAACAGGTCTCTGGTTAGTCGTGTGACCCTGTTATTGTCGGAAGACGAGCTTGCCTCAGGTTCTAGTACACAGACGGGTGACCCACGGGTTTGTGGAGCCTCTGTCAAGGTCTTGTAATGCCTCAAAGCCGCTGAAAGTGTAGCGAACCCGCTGCTTGCGTACGAATTCCCTATCCATCCAAGGGGTCCATCATTGCTGTCCCCCACGTCTTCTCTGGGAACTTGCGAGCAGATGATGTTGTCGCCGGCTTCTCTGTCAAGACGGCGCTTTCTTTCTTTCTCCAGCTCCTCCTTACTCATCACTTCACACATCGCGAACTCGTCCATCAGAGGCACCACTTTGAACCCATCTATTTCCGGTGTCATGTTCACCGGCATAGGGACAACGTACAGCTTCATTTCGTTGATGTCTACCCGCATAGCTAGGAACATGTCCATATCGTCGTCGGAAACAATGTGAATAGGGACAGGTTTTACAGAGCCGTCGACGTCCATCCATTCCGGCATTTCATAAGTTAGCTCGATCTTCTCCCTAGTTCTGTTGATGCTGAACTCTTCAATGACCTTCGTTTTTGCTGCTTCAACACCGTCTCCTTCCCTGAAGCGAATGAGCCTCCCCATCTGTCCCTCCGCTCCTGAGAATCTCCAAACTCCTTGTTCATCTTTGGACCACCCGCCAAGCTTAACCCGTACCATGCCCGTGATTCTTTCATTAGTCACCTCCATCATTTCACCTGTTTAAGAACCCAAACGAACCATGTTAGAGAAAGTCAACAAGTTTATATCTACAAACTATAAAGAATAAACCTCCTTACTTAACTCTCCACAAGTTTTCTTACGGTCGTCGCTGAAGTTGTAGACTTTATGAGGTTTTTGTAGTTGGTGTCGTGAAGATTTTGCATCTCGCCCCCAAGCCTATTTATTGGGTATCCAACTCTTTAGGTTAGGTGTTTAAATTTCAAAATCCCGCCCATCTGGTTTCGTAAAAGATTCGCACCGAAGATTTTTTTTAGACATTATGCAGGTTTGCATTTAATGTAAGTCCTCTACTTCTTTCTGTCGCCGCGGAACCATCCCATCCATAACAGAGCCGTCGCTTCTTTCATTTTTGCCAAAAAAGTCTACCCTCCTATCCCACTCGCATGCGTACGTCACTGCCTGGTTATTTCGTTATTTTCGTCAAACCGTAGCCCAAAAATGAAGCGTTATTTCCATGCCTTTGTGATATAGCAGTCAATTACCTATTAGCAAATTATCCTCTCTGATTTTACCTCTGAGCTAAATGTCCCAAAGACAAAACGATGAATTGATTGATGATGATTCTGTGAAAAAAAAAAAGAAAAACAGTTTCTATAATAACTAGGTCAACGATGGTGGCTTGATTGTTTACATCTTTTTATTATTTTAGTGAACTATTAGGCTATTGGGCTGTATAAAGAGTAAATAATAAAATTTATAAAGACTATCGAATAAGTAAGGAAGTTGGACTAAAGGTCTAAAGCTATTTTTTCTTAAGAAACTTTGTTAATTTAAATAACTATTAGAGAAAAAAAAAAAAAAAAACAGTATAAGGCACGTGCCTACCCTGCCCTTCACGTACGTCCGCCCCTGGAACAGCCTGGAACTACCGCCATCGGCCGGAATCTCTCTAGGTGAATTATTATCTTGTCTAGCTGATAACTGAACTTGGTTAATCAATCCGATTTGTAAAGTTTTTGGTCTTTGGATAGGTAGCTTTAATTCTCAATATGACACTGTGGGCTGGTGGAGATTGAATTATTTATATGTTTTTTCAGGAATGATAATGGACGGTGAGTTGATGTCAGATTACAAGATGGTAGCTAAATCTTTGACTAGGAAAGGAACTGCGATGGCTAAATGCTCAAAAGGCTATGAACCTCTGACAGAGAGACCAAATAAAGACTTGGAGCAGCAGGACTACTTTGATCCCAGTATCGGCGTTGAGCAAGGTACAATTATCTCTTGTCTATAATCACGTAAAAGCCAGCTAATGAGGAGGTTGCTGTGTTTCTCATACAGGTACTGATGAGCACAAGTATCCTGATCTTGAGGTTGGAAAAATCCCAGTGATGCCTTTCAGACCATCTCTTGAAGCTAAACTTAGAGGATTGCTGTATAACATTTGCTTACATGAGATTAAGCTATGCTCTGATGCTTTAAAAGAGTTTGTTATGTTACTAAAGGGAGAAACTGGCGGCCATTTGTTGCGTCTTTATTTCCACAACTCTGCCAAATTTAAGGAGCTTCTAGATGTATGGAAGTTTCTACATGAAAAAAAACAAGGAGTGTCCTATATATTCTCGCTTTTCCAGACGGTTTTGAGTCATCCAGAGGGAAAAGGTACATCAGCTGATATTGGAAGAGCTATTAACCAGCTTGGCAGGTCACTTATTGATGAAAAACTGCATGACATTTACAATGCATTGAACAGCAAAGAGGGAAAACAACAGAATGCTGCACTTTCACTCTTGGCTTCCATAGTTAGACGTGGTCCAAGAATGGCATCGCATATGGCGAATAAATTTGATTTTAAGGGTTTTGCAAAACTGGGGGAGTATAAAACTGGAGGGGCTGACAAGGTTAGGAAACATTCAACGAGGCAGGCTTTTGTTGGGTTTGCAATATCATTCCTTGAAGTTGGGCAACCTCATTTGTCAGATTCTATTTTATGGCAGAAGAAAATGTATTCTAATGTCCTAAAAGGCCTTGGGGAAGACGATGAAGACACTGCGGCTTACGTTTTGTCTACGTTGAAGGACAAGATCCTTGTTAAAGAATCATTGATTTGCCCTCCGCTAAGGAGTGTTCTTTTTGGAATCCCTGCACTAGAGAAGCTAGTCATCATTTCAGCAAGAGAGGATGGTGGGAAAGTGAATGAGTTGGCCCATGATGTTCTTGTTAAAGTTTGTACAGACCCCTCTAATGGATTGATGCCAGATTCAAAGAGCCTACTAATGCTCATGAAGAAGTTGAGAGCAACAGAAATTAGTTATCATAGGGATTTGCTTCTAGCCATTGTTAGGGGTAGACCGTCTTTAACTTCAGCTTTCTTGGAACAATTTCCATACAATGTGAAAGATTTTTCATCACCATCCTGGTTAGTCTTCTTCAAAGTACTAGAGTATATCTATATCTTCATTTTAAGTGCAGCCTGAGACTTTTGCTTCCTTTTTTTTTTTTTTTTTTTTTTTTTTTTTCTTTTTCATTCTTTCTGCTTAGTAACTGAAGTCATTGCAGGGTTTCTTCTATTTCCCTGGCAGCAAATTTGGTATCGCCGGAAAGAATTTCATCTTCTTTTGACTTTCTCAATCCAGATCATCGTGCTATACCTCCTTCTGTTGGTTCAGAAATTCAGACTATCATGAATTGCATATGCCCTCGACCGTTTAGCCGGTCGTTGATCACTAGAGGGATGCTCCATTCTGATTTACTTGTGAAACATGGGACTTTGAGATTTCTCTGGGAGACGCTGAGGCTGTTGGATTCTTTTGTTACCGCTTGGAAACTTCGCTCGTCTCAGGCTTCTCTTGAGCGGGATGTCATGGGTGAGGTGAGAAGCTTTTTTCCAGATGCCCAGGTGTTTTTGACTGTACTGAAGTCTCTGAGCGGTTCTAGCGAAACCCAAAAGCTGCCTTTGAAAAGAGAAGCAGTGTTGGATAGTGGATTAGTAGGAAAAAGAAAACGCTTTAAGCCATCTGAGAAGTGTGTTTTGGAAAAAGATGCTGGTGATATCGTCATTTGTGGGGTAGGTTCTGATAAAGATTTCTTTTTGGAAGAGGATACTGGGGATGCTCAGATGACAGATCAGGCAGATGCTGAAAAAGAATATCTTGGGATTGTTTCAGAAATTTGGGGTTCAGAGTTTTGGTCTAAGCCTTTTGATTCGGTCGAAGAAGCAGAGATGTTATTTCACATTAAGCTCCTGGATACCCTCAGGATTTATATGGTACGTCGATTTTTCGCGTTATTAGTTTTGTTGTGTTGTTGATAAATGAAAACGCTTAACCCTTTTACTCACTTAAGAATATTTAATAACAACAGGGTTTCTTATTGTTTTGCATTGTACTTTAAACCCTCGTGTCTCAAATTTTAGTTTTGAAGTTCTTGCAAGAGAGTAGTATACTATCCTGATTGAAGTTTGATTTTTGAGTTGTAGTGGTTTGTCCTCTAGACAACTAGAGAAGTGATATAGCTTTGCTTACTCAGTTTTGGTCCAATTTCTTGTTTCTTTTGTCAATGTAATTTAGTTTATTTTATTACTGTTAATATGTCTACGCATTAGTAGTACTTGACGAGCTCTGGTTTTTTAAGCTACATGTTTTTCATCTTTGCAGCGTTCTGTGCCTAATATCCTTGAAGGATCGTTTGATGTCTTCATGAAATTTCTGAGCACTTCTTCAGGTTTGCCAGCCGAATTGCAGAGAGCTCACTTGTCTTTGGTAAATGAATACATCAGTTGGACGCCAAAGTCCCAAAGTGAGAGAGAGAGTGTTCCTACAAGAATTCCACCACTCATGTTCAAGCATTTGCATGTATTCATTAATTTGTTACCTTTTTCATCACACGACGAGGTGAAGGATCTATCGTATAATTTAGCACTGGTAGCTATGAGCAGCACCGGTGCATTCGACAAAAATCCAAGTGAAATTGGGGCATGGTTCCGGTTTCTACCAGGTTTTGGAAAGATTAAACCACCTCTTATGGTTCAGGAGGCTGTACAGAGCATGTCATCAGTTGTCATCTCCTTTTTATGTGATGCAGTTACGACTGTTGGAAATAATTTATTCAAGCAATGGGAAATTGTCAGAAGTAGATTGTCCCATTTAAAAGGTACAGTTTTTTTGTGCGCTCAAAATTTATGGTTCTGTATAGATTGCACGTGTTTACTCTTTTTGCTTAGGTTTAGCTTCTGAATTGTATAATATGTTGCTCCTATGTTTGTTTAGACATACCATTATACTGTTTTAGGTTTTGAGTGGCAAATTTGTTGTCTGCACAAAGATGGTTATCTTATATGTCTCTGCAATTATCTTATGAATTTATGGCAAAATTTTTAATTTTCAAACTTCGGTTAATGTCAAGCTAGTTTAATCCTGGTTACTTGTCCTTTGGACTGTGATAAGCCTAGAGGAATTTATTGACTGGCGAATCTTCTGTGTTGGTTGCAGGTGACTCAATTGGTTTTAGCCCCTTAATTGTTTGTATTCTGGAGAACTGTGTTAGGCTGCTTAAGTCTGAATCTAAAAAATATTCTTTACCAGACAAGTCAGCAATATCTCTGTACGTCTGCAGCACATTGAAATATCTTTTGCAAACTCAGGTACATATATACATATATCTTATGCCATACGATATGTTTATATTCTAGTTTATGCCGCTTAAGACACCAATTCGTTTTCTATAAATTGAATATTGTAGGTAGATTCCAGTGGACTCTCTTGTTTGGTCCAGTCAGTTTTGTCTGAGGTGGTTGATGGATCTAAGGATTCTTTATGTGAATGGAGGCCATTGAGGATGTTGCTGCTTTTCTCACAATCTTTGTCAGACAAAAAAACTTTCATCTTACATTCCAGAAGGACAACGAGTTTACTTGCTGACACTTCTTTTGCAGATTCTCTTGATGAGATAAAAGGACTGGTGAGAAGAAGTATTTCTCTGGATGAAATCGCAGGAATCGTTAAAGCGTTTTCTTCTGCATTGATATGTGCAACACCTGAATCAATTTTGGAGAATTTTGCTTCTGTGATGGCTATTTCTTGGGATTTATATGGAACATCATTCTCATTTTTACAGTCCATCGCCTTTCTAGAGGAAAACTTCCTCGGAAACCTTTCAAAGCTATCACCTGACTTATTTGTTAGAGGTTTAGAACTTACTAGGTCAAGGAATCTCCGTGAAGGAATAGTAGATAGTGAGATTGATTTTGCTGACTACTCATCCGTAACTGAAGCAATCAAAAGTAAGGTGGAGATTCGTGATATTTATTCTTCTGCCTTGTCTATGTTCTTCGAGCAGGCTCCTTTTCCAGTATTACTTAACGAAATTATGAGCATGGATATATCTTGCGTGCCAGAGTTTCCAAGATTAGCAGAGCTACTGCTGCTAAAAGTTTGGCAACCTAAAAGTGATAATATTGAATCAGATATCCGATTAATACTATTCTGGCTCTTCCAAATACGATCATCTTACAAGATTCAACCAGCTCCGGTACTCTGTCGAATCTCTGAGATCTGCTTACGTCTCTTGAAGCACTTGTTCTCGCAAATATCAGAACGGGGCTTTGTTTCTGGACCTTCTTCAGATAAGTTGGTTGCTCCTTTTGCAAAGTGGAAGCATCAAGTGGCCCAGACAGTTCTTTGCCATCCAGTTGTGATGGCACTGTTGGAGAGTCCCTTGGATTGTGGCACATTACCTCCAGTGCATAATGTTAAGATTTTTTCAGAAACGTCGCTGACGACGAGCAGGCTAGTTATTTGTGAAATAGATCAACAAATCCTTGATCTATTGGTTTCTATTTGTGAGCACTTTTTGTTTGATGAGAGACACATTGTGCAGGATGGCGATCTCAGGGAAAATAAGTCAATTACGGTTTTTAAGGACTTGGTGCAAAGGCTTCTTTTGTTATTCAGAGACAAGTTTGAGCTTTGTGTTGGTTCTCAAAGTTACGCTCCGCTTCTCCAACCATCACAATTAATTCATGCGTTGTTGAGATTTATTTCACCTTTTAAACTTTTAGAGCTAGCCCGTTCCATGCTGAGTAAAATTGATGAGGAAGAATTGGCTAGCCCAAATTTGAGTATGATTATCAGTTTGGGATTGGATATTGCTGGCGGAGCTTTTGAAATGCTTATATCTTATTCACACCTGCCGGCTGCTAAGAGAGGGGTATATGATTTGCTGTGGGAATTAAAAGAAGAGAATTATGACAGTATACTCATTGAGGAAGTCTATAGCATGGCATGCAGGTTTTCTACCTCTTTTGGTTTGGTTTCGGCAGATACTTGTTTGCTTAAAGTTGGGAGCAGCATTTTCAGGGGGAAACATAATCGGCATTGCAATGTTCATCCATTGACGGTGATAATTTCACAGATTGTTGGGAGAACTCCTAAAGACTTGATTATCCATTATATTAACCAGCCAAGCATGACCAGAGCCAAGATATTATTCTATCTTGTGGAGTCCAGTCCCTTGCATCTGTCAGTCTTTGGACACTCTTTCTTTAGTATGCTAAGTAAGCAACAGGATGGCTCTGATCAGTTTATCATGCTTCCGCCTGCCGTGTTATCGTATCTGGCATCAGTTTATGCAAAAATCGAGACGCCGTGTAGTAGATGTTTAGATATAACTTCACTTTATTCAAATAAACTAACAAACGGTTTTCATCAGTGGCCCAGTTTTTTGTCTGGGTGGATCTTTGAAGAGAAGTATGAAGAGATTCTTATGTCGACAACTGAGGATATTGACACTATGTTTAATGCGAGTCTTCTTGGGATGGCAGTACGTATGTTTCAGTGTCACTTTGCCTTGAATGAAAGTCCAACTAAAATAGACGATCTCTTAAAGGTATTCTATTCCATGTTTCCCCACGCTAGTGCTGGCAAAAAGATGTTTGATTACGAGATAAAAGAAATGGACGCTCAGTCAGTACACTATATGTTTAATGTTGCTATCCGTGTAGTTGCAAAAGTAGAATTTTCAAGGATCTGTTTGTTTCCTGAGGATAGCAGTATATGTCATTTTAAAAGTCAAGCTGTTAGTTGTGCAAAGGAAAGTTCTCCAGAAATGGGATCCTGCAGAGAGAGTTTACTAAATGCTTTAGTTGAAAGTTGGCCATGTGTTGTCAAGAGATCTGATGGTTATTTTCAAGGGAATTCTGAAAGAAAACAAGACAAATGTTGGTTCCTGTGCAAAAGCCTTGAAAACTTCATTTTGAGAAGTATTCTAAAGATTTTGAAATACATGTGTGAGGAGCTTGTTAACTTGGATTCTCTTCCTTTCTTGGAGAAACTAATGAAATCAGTTCTCCTGTATAGATTTGAGGACTCAAAGACATTGAAGTTACTGAGGGACATTTTCTCCTTATTGTCGAGAGGAAAGTACTCATGTACACTATATATCCAACTCCTGGTATCTCACTCTCAGTTTACACCAACCATCCTATCAGCCTCGCGTACTGGTGAATTATTGAGGCCTGTCTCCAGCATTCTAAAACATCTTAGCATCCCAAGTCCAAATTCTGTCGGAGTTGGAAGTTGTTGTCTCGAAGCACCCGACTATGTGAAGCAGTTAGAAATTGTCAAAATTCTCAGAGTGCTGCTTTCCAAATGTGGAAAAGGTTCGGGGATCAATCTGAAAGAGCTGCGCTTTCTTTTTTTGTGTTCTTATGGTGCAACTATGAGCGAAATTGACTTAGAGCTCTACAAGTTGATGCATGATATCGAGTTGATTGAGGACGAACAGAGGCTGAATGTTTCTGAAACAGATTATTTGTGGGGTAAAGCTGCCTTGAAAATAAGAGAGGGACTGCGTTTTTCTCAGGATGCATATTATGGTGGTGAAGCTGGTTTGGTGGAAAATCTCCAGCAGATTCTTTTCAAAGAGAATCTTTGGATTGATCCCAAAATATGTGCTCAAACTCTTTTGTATTTTCCCTATCAACGAACTGCAGAGGTATCGGATAACTCTTACATATCTGATGATCCAGTAAGTGAGGTACCCGCGTGTTTAATTTTAATTTCCAGTTAAAAGTTCTTGTATTTGCATTTTCAAACAACGTTCAAAGTAATCATCCCTCCTCCCTGTGTAGAAATGCTCACCTGTTATTGAACGGTATGATCCGGCTTACATCCTGCCATTCTCAATACACTCATTGTCCATGGGATGTATTGAACCTGTAAAATTCGCCAGTTCAGGCTTGCTTGCAGTTGCGTTAGCGAGCACGTCTTCAGCAGATCTTGGGATGAGAAAATTGGGCTATGAAACTCTTGGGATATTTGTGCATGCCCTTAAGGTAATAATTATTTTGTGTTTTTCTTATCTGTATGCATAGCCTGTTTTGATACTCAAAGTCTCCTCAGAATCTCTAAGATATTATCATTCCTTCAGTAGTAACTGGTAGTTTCAGTAATTTAAATGGTACACAAAATGGGAAAGGATATTAAAAAGGGGAATATTTGGGTATACCCTATCTGAACAGAGGACTTGTAATTGCAACTAGCTAGCAAAAGTATTTAAGTTTTTGGAGTTATGGGTCCTTAGCCTACCAATCCTTTTTGCTTCTTTAATTAATTGGTTTTGCAAAGGCTCACTGATCAGATTTGTTCTCGATTATTCCATTGCTTCTGTGGACACATGCAAGTATTTTTTCTTTGTTTAACTAAAACTTTTTGATGTAGAGATGTGAGAAGAATGAGAATGTAATGGGGCTTATGCTTCTGCTGATGCATGTGGAAAATGGAGTTGACAAACGGTGGAAAAGAATCCCAACAGTTTGTGCTTATTTTGCTGCTGTGACGTCTCTGATATTGTTGGATTCTTCTCACGAACTTTATGCTCCCATAAATAAACTTTTGAAGAGCTCATCTACTCTGAACCTGAAGGTACTTAATTATTCGCTGAAAACTGTAAAACTCTTGTCTTTTGTCCCTAACAATTTGCCAGCATTCAAACTGTTTTTGATTTTTCTTTTTGGTAGGGAATACCTTTGTTTTATGACTTTTTCTGGAGCAGCACTGTTGTCCTTCGATCACAGAGGCTTTGGGAACTTCGCCTAGTGTGTGTGGGCTTGGAATCAGAAGACGATGCTCAATTGTACATAAGAAACTCTGTCCTTGAGACATTAATGAGTTTTTCCTCATCCCCTCTTGCTGATGATGAAACTAAAGGACTAATCCTTCAGGTGATACTTTATTTCCTTAATGTCACTTAATGTTTATCTTGCACCTATATGCAGTTGCCTCTTCAGTGTCATTAATATAGAAGGTTAATTCTGAGAACATATTTGTTTGGTCGTTCTGTGTTGTGGGGTATCTGTACTCCACCTTTGAGCTCATAATGAAAACAATAAAATCCGTCTTTCTTTCACTTTTCAGGTTGTGAGAAAGTCAGTCAAGTTCCATAAGATAGCCCGACATCTAGTTGAAAACTGTGGTCTTTTGTTATGGTGTTCATCGTTTATCTCAATGTTTGCTACAAAGCCCATTGGAGATGAAGATTCGCGCTTGGTAGCTGTCTTGGAGGTATTAGTCCAGTAATGATATTAGTTGATTTTCAACTTTTAAAAATAACTAATGATAGATACATTGTTTTGCTAATGAAAATCTATAGTGTGATGATGAACGCAAAACTGAATCGAATTCCTCAGTGATCAACCATGATTGTTGTCTAGTTGGCGTCAAGGGTCCTTTGTTAGAATATTGTATTCGTTAATTGAATTTGCTTTGTGATATTGTTGTACCAGGTCATAACTGATACACTCGCCTCCAGAAACGTCACAGTGTGGTTGCAAAGATCTGCCCTCGAAGAGCTAATGGAAATCTCGTCGCGTTTATACAGATTTTTAGGTGGTGGATTGGTATCAGTGAAAGAAAATGGTACTTTGGTGGATTTGATTTTGCAGATACTATCTGCTACTCTAAAGATATCACAGAAACGGAAACTGTACCAGCCACATTTCACCATCACAATCGAGGGGATATGCCAACTCTTTGAGGCAGTTGCTAATTGCGACTCTCCTCAAGTCGAAGCTAGTGCAGAGCGTGGGCTTGATGTTATATTAATGAGCACCCCGCCAATTGACATAATATGCATGGTATCTCTCTCCCTCTCTCTCTCTCTTTCTCCAACTACTGTGAGCATCCGTCCAATTTTGGTTTTGAACAGTTTAAAAAAGTGTTTGTTTGATACGATGATATCTTTTCAGGACGTGGACAAGCTGAGAAGGTTTCTTTTTTGGGGAAGCTCCACAGCCTTGAAGAGTGACTTTGAAAAGGGATCTAAGCCTAGTGAGTCTCATAAAGATACTAAAACACACTCTGAAGAAGCACAAGAAGAAACTATGGTAGCAAAGTTTCTACGCTGGCTGTTGGCTTCAGTGATTCTTGGGAAGCTTTATTCTGAAGCTAATGATTTGGACTCAACAGTCTTGAGTGAAACAAAGCCAGAAACTTTGTTGGAATACTTGAAGCAAAGGAATATTGAAGGCAGCATGACAAAATCGGAGCACATACTAGGGGAAGTAATCGTATATCTCCAAAAGCTTCTGTGTACAAACAACATGGTTCTTCTTCCCTCTGTTGTATTTGCACTTTCTCTCATGCTTCTTCGCAATGGCCTCTTCTTGACTGCAGGTATGCTGCTTTTCACCGAGTTAAACAACTCTTGATTTCCAGATTACTTGGCTTTGATTGAGAATTGAATTCTTTGGTGAAGTAGGTTTGAAATGTTTCTGCTTTGAATTTTCAGTTGTTGATTAGAGGTCATAAGAATCTGAAACTATAGAATTTATATAGACAGTCTTGTTTGTAGGTGTTAAAGCTGCACGTTTCTGCCAACCTAAATCTGAAATTGTTCTCTCTTTCTGCGTAGATACAGAGTCCGAAGGTGATTACAAGCTCATCAGATCTTTGTGTTCTAGAATTAGTTGTCCTCCTGAAGCTATTCCGGTCTGGAGATGGTAAACGATTCATCTATTGTTTGTTCATCATTTCAAAGCTTTCATTGTTTTTCACTCCAAACCGTAACATGAATCCTTCTCCATAGGTCGTATTATCAGGGATGGAAGGATCTTTCAACGGGACCAGCCACAGATCCGAAAAAGATCGATGCATGCCAACAGCTTTTGCTGATATTCTCTGATATGCTTGGGACAATGCCTCAGGAATCTCAACAAGTGTTGCTTCGTGATTTTTTTTGAAATTTCCAGTGTATTTGTATCATCCAAATCAAATCAGTTTTGTTTTACTTTATATCAATGACTGGAGTTGTTTTATTGGTTAGTTCACAAGAACTATGTTTAAATTTTGATGTATTAATTGTTATTAAGCAATAATCCCTTAATGATAATTGTTATTGAGCTAGAGTCCATATCATAAAATCATAGCATCTTGCAGCCACCAAATGTGTCAAGCTTGGCCATTTTCTTTGAACATTAGACATTGAAAAATTGAACAAAGAAAGGTAACAGCTTGCTGTCTGGAACTGCGGTCACTTAACGATGGTCAAGGAGAAACATTCTCGCTTAACCGGCTACTTATGAACGACATTTGCAAGAGGACCAAAAGAAGTGTTGGAACTTAGAAAGCTTCGATTGGTGACAGTAGTGGTTGGCTTTGAACTGTCTATTTCGAAATTTGTAAAACAATTATTTACTTAGTTTATAACCAGTTTTATTATTCCTTTTTGTTGTTACAATCCTGTTTTTTTAGCATTACTCGAATAACAAACGTCAAAGATGAGGAGCCAATGTACACATTTATATTAAAAGAAGAAAAATGAAACCCAAAACTCCTGTCCTTTGTCCTTTCTCTTTGGTTTTTTCTACTTGAATTAATGGAATTTTGGAGCTTTTCGAGAATAATATTACAGTTGTTCATGGTCCGGGCATCATAGTTTCATAGTTTCACCATAAACACTCTCCAGCACCTACATCACAAAAACTCACCTGTATCAACTTAGCAAAACAATAGAGGAAATGGGAGTTCAATTTACCAAATCAAGCTCGGTGTTCGAACAATGATGGGTCCATGTAATTTTGAGAATGCCTCACATGCCCATGGAATGTGAGAAGAAAAATTTATGCCTTTTTCAACCAAGAATTCAAAGAACGGAAGATCCTATACACGTTCCACTCAACCTACGGCCTGAGAAGAAGGAGGTGCAGAACAAGGACTTCTGGAGCCAACAAAGGATCAAAAACAAAATGCTTATCATGCATGAGTCAGAAAACATACAACCAGATTTGTTCACTTTGCTTTTACCAGAGGAACTCATGCAACAACATCCACAAACTATTATTACACATGTGACTCTAAACTTGTATACTGTAAGATTCGACATCATATGTACTGAAAGACATACCGCTGCTTCCTCACAAACGAGTTCCACATGTGCATCATCTGCTTCTCATCCTTGGTCACATCAACGAAATCATCGAGCATCTGAAAGAAAAAAGATTTTCAAATACTAAAAGGAGAAAACTTATTCGCTGTAAACTAATGGAGAACCAGACAAACTATGTTAGAACCGAGAACAAACAGAAACACTTGGTCCTTTAACCAGTGTTATATAATATAAGCAGATGTGGTTCTACTGTTCCATATCAGACCATGAGGCTTGCTCGTGTATTTCCTTTTGATATCTCTCTATCATAACAATTTTGCTCCTATCAAACATTTGCCTATGCCCCAGTCTTCAATATTCCTTTCCCTTTCACACGAAGCATATATCTACCAAACTACTGAGCTTTATCCAGCACATCTGAGTTGAATAAAAGTAACCTAAAGCGATGAAAATGTTAAACTCTAAAACATACCCTTGTATCTTCAACTATCTCGGTCAGAAAGTACTTGTTCTAGAGCCATGGGCTGTGATAATACACATCATCAGCAATCAATTGCAAGAGAGCTAAAAAAAATAGATCACCTGAGCTCGATGAGAGTGGAAGAACTGTCTCTTCTCAAGGAGGCTACGGCTGGAAGAGAAAACAATTTGAAAAATTCCAAAGAATGAACCTATGTAGTTAAATGAAAATGGAAGAAGAGATGGGTAGAGCGACAAAAGAAAGTCAAACATACTTGCTCAAGTTGTATAGACAACTTGTTAGTTTTTGCAAATTGCAACATTGTACTTCCAGCTATTGTCTGCACGGAATCTGGATCACCACATGATTGTACGTCTGCAGGAGGAACTCTTTGATTAGACTCAGCACCCCCATTTCGTTCATAATGCTTTCCAGGTGGTATTCGGCTCTTCTCGGAAATATATCAATCAAACAAACAATATGCTCTAACCTAGCTAAAGAGAGATATAGTTCTTTGGGAGTCAGATAGGATAGATTGAGAATCTCCATCTTCCTTATCAACAGAGTTTGGGACTAACTTTCTTTGAACCGTTGCAGCTCTGTTCTTACTTGTCTAGAATCAATCGGAAAGCTATCATCAAACCTCCTCTTATGTTGCCTCTCTTTACGTTGGTGCAGAGGATCCCGAGTCATCAAATTAGGTTTGGGGCCTTGAGAAAAATGGACCCTTTCAGCTCTAGCCTTCCGAGGATCCCTTTCTTGCTTACTTGTGAGAATCTCAGAGTGCTCATGGCTCCTCCGCTGAGATGGCGGGACTTCAATCTATTCCACACTGTAATTTATGTCTTCCTGATTCAGGCGAAAGGCTGAGAGGTTAGTACCAAAATTGAAGATCAAAAATCTCTTCTCCACCGTTAAAGCTCCAAAATTGAGGTAATTTGTTGTCTAATTTATTTTCATTATTAAATCCAACAAGTTTGAGACTCGTTTATGGTGTTAGAAGAAGATATTATTGTGTTGTTGTTGTTTAATTCATCAAAATTTTGAATTAGAGATATTGCAGATTTTAAATTTTCTTTGTTATGCTCATTAAATTCATTCACATTTGGTATTGTAGTCGATCTGGGTCGAATAAGGTTGATAATGTGTCCATTAACACTTGAATCAACTCAATCGTAGAAAAATAGTATGAAATTATTAGTGGTCAGGACATTGATGTAGGATAACTTGGTATTACTGAAATGGAAACAGCTGCTAAAACCTGGTATTACTGATACGGTACAACTTGGTATTCCGTAGACAGGTGCTTGGTACAACTTGTAATACCAATTATTATTGATTTTGTGTAACTTAGTACTATTTGGTACAACTTGTCATATCAATTATTATTTATTATGGGTAACTTGGTACAACTGGCTATTCTAATGTTAATATTTATTTGTTTTCAGGATACAATGAATAATAATCTTCTCACAATAATATATTTTGATTATGGGGGATCTTATATAAGAAAAGGAGCTGATACACAATGGATTTCAAAAGAAGATGTTCATCACACTCTTTTGGTGAAAACATCTATTGAGGAAGTCATATATTCTGAATTGGTGAACCAAATATGTAGAAAAATGATGGTTGATAAAGCTACCGTTGTGTTGAAATTGAGCTTTGTTGCTGAAACAGTTAAACCAAAGAAACCAACATATATTTCCCATGATGATGATGTAATGTGTTTTTTGGAAATGAATAAAAACCATTTCCATGTTTTGCATGTGGAAGTCGACAAAGATGTTGAACGTGATCAAAGGCGAGAGAGAGAACACTCAGGAAAATCAAGAAAATCAGGGGTGTGATAAACTTCTAAGAGAAGATATGGGAAGTTAATTTCGTGCAAGTAATGAGAAGTTTATTTCAACTGGTAGAGCCAGTGAGGAAAACATGATTGTTTATGAAGGCTAACCATCTCAACATTATGAGCTGCTAGAAAGTGGTGAAGATCTTGGATTTGAAGGAGCAGAAGTTGATAACAATGATATGAGTATTGAGGTCACACTTGTTGTTAATGTTGAATGGGAAGACGGTTTGAATGTGAATATAAGACAAGAATTTGAAAGTAAGCAAGTAGTGGCAGATTTGGTTGAAAAAGGTGCGCATAAGAATTGTTTTGAGTTTGTTATAGTGAAGTCGGATACGAAGTTGTATGTGGTTAAATGCTGTGAGGTAAAAAAAGGTTGCAAGTGTGATGAGGTAAAAAACTATTCTATAAGATGTAGGATTTACCTTGTGTAACTCCTAAAGCTTTAGAAAAGTTTTTAAGTCTTTAAAGTTTTTATTTTTCTAATCACATTTTTTTGGTTTTAAATAATTTTAAAGCCTCCAAAATCCTTCTTCTTTTTTTTTAATTCTTTGAATTCAAGTTTTTTTCTATAGCCGCACGTAAACGTGACTTTAAAATTAAAAAGAATAAAAATTAATATTTTTTCTTATTTTTTTTTTCCATTATATGAAAACCTCTGATAAAATTCGTTGGAAAATTATTTTTAAAAAAGTATTAACTAATTTATAATTGATTTTTTTCCTATTCTTTTAAGATCCATTTATGTATATAAAAAAATATCAGATATTGCATTTGATACAAAAATGGAGAATATGAATGTATAAAAACTTCATAAAGTTCTTTGTGTGAATTTCGTTGGTATATCATAATTTGGATTTATATTCGCTGTATTTTATTTTATTTAAAATCAGAATTTTTACAGCCATAGTTTCTACAGTTTTGTTATTACCAATCACATTCTAACATTTAAAGTCTTTAAAGTTAAAGTCTCTGTAGTCAAAGTTTCTACCGCCAAAGTTCTTACAGCGAAAGTTTCTACAGCCGAAACTAAGAGTCGTTACCAATCAGACCCAATATATTTGTAAACCAAGATCTGTTTTCGGTTCATTCGGTCGATTAATATAAATATTAAAGAAAAAATAATAATAATCTTTTAGGTTACTAAGATGTAAGATCTGTTCGGTCTGAACAGAAGACAATATTATATAAACAAAATTAAATTATTTGTGACGTTTAACAATAATCATACAATAATATTATTTTAAAATTTAATTTAAATTAAGCAACAAAAACTAAAATAACGATATCCTCTTTGATTCGTTCCTAAATAATAGATATCCGTAAAGCACTAGTCAAATGTAATATCCATAGAAAATGGAACAATGTTGATGTCACTCATCGAACCAAACTTATCAAAGTAACTGTCTCTCTATCTTGAGACCAGAGTTTGATGATATTAAGAGAGGAGAATTGTTCATCCTAAGTGGAACATCTCGAGGTTGCTTCTTCAGTTCTTCTTTTATGTGGTTACAAATTTCTACACAAAAAAACATTGATGAATGTTGGAAACTAAAAAAGGTTTAGTAAAAATTTAATATATATACTTAAATGGTCAAAACCAAACAATAAAAGGTACAAAAAAACAAGTTTCAAAATAAGACTCTCTAAATAAGTGAATATTGATGAGTTTTTTTTCCAAATATACCAACTCGATAAATCGCTAGATTTAGCTATAAAACAAGAACAAAATAAGTGAAAGAAAGTGATATACTGGTCCGACCGACCAATCTGAGTCGGATTTTATAACTTTAGTTGCTTTTTTCAAGATTATTCAATTGATTTGCCATGTGCACGACTCCAAACATTAGTCTTTCAAAATATTAATATAAAAACAAGAACCAAAACAATTTACGACCCTCCATTGAGAATCTTTTCTTCCTTAGCCAACAAGTCCTTTTTACGTTTAATCTATATTTTCCCTTTTCTTTTCTCTGAATAAGACCCACCAGTCTCCTTTGTTGTATGTACATGTATCAGTTTCATATTCATCATATGCATGTCAGCTTCCACTTATTTTCCTTGCGTGTAATAATTTACATACATTTATTACAAAATATTTGTCTTAACTAGCACATGCCACTTGTTTTGTTGTCTAGTGTTTACCCTTACTATGCTACGCTTAATCAGGCTGATTAACAACAAAACTCCTGATTAGTTAGCCGGCTCTAAATTGATTACAATATGCATTATATGGGGGATAAAGAAAAAGTCCCAAAAAATAAGCTAAGTTTATTTTCTTTTTTGAAAAAATACACGAAGTTATATCGGTTAGAATATAAAAGATAGAAAACATTAATATACCATTAGATTGTATATTTTGGTAATGTGAATACTTTGTATAAATTTTCTTATCCATTTTCAAATAGTCCAAACTCTTATAAATGGTTCAATTGGATTTTGTAATCTTCCGACTCGAAAAACTATTACGTTCAGAGCTAAATTTTGTAAGTAAAGAGCATTTTTTTTTGTGTTTTAAGAAACCCTCCAAAATCCTTTTTTTTATATAAAGTTTAATTTTTTGATAAAGAACAAAACCCATATTCATAATAATTATCACAAAATCAAAGATTATTTGCACGCCGCCAACCTAATTTGTAAGTCATTCGTTGTTAATTTGCTTTGCTTACATAGATTATTCAATATGTTTTAATAGAAAGTTAGTTTGTATAACAAATATTTTTTAAAGTGTCTATAGATACATTAATCACATTGTTTAATTGTCTACATTGTATTTGTCATTTGTGATTGTGACTTGCCTTGTCTTTATCTCCCTTGACCTAAATGACGTCTTCCACTTTCTCTCATCCATGCTTGGAGCTTTCCACCCAAGTTTTGCTCACACTTTCCCTGAAATTTCAATCTTTCTTTTTTTCTTTTTCAATTAAAATGATAAAAACCAAAACTTTATAAAAATTAAATGTCAAAAAATTATAACTTTCTTGTTCACCACTCACCAAACTCTCTATATAAACATATACACACCTCTCTCAATCTTTCATCATCTTTCACTTAAGAAAAAACCAAAAAAAATGGCGAGTCTTTATAGTCAAGTTCCTTCTGTATCAGCAGTTTTCTCTCTTTACACATCTTTTTCCGCAATCACGATGCTTTTTCGAACAATCCTCAACGAGATTGTGCCTAAAAGAATCAGAGAGTACATAGCTATGAAAGCTGTGGACTTCTTCTCTTCTTACTTTCAATCTAGTTTCACTTTTGTGATCGAGCAACGTTGGGAGTTTGTTGAGAATCAGACCTTCCGTGCTGCTGAAGTTTACTTACCTACCCGTCTCGCCGGACTTTCTACAGGCAAACTTCTTGTGGGTTCTAGTAATCTTAAGAATCCAGCTGCTGAGCCAAAACTTGGGATCCCTGTAAACACAAAGATCATTGATGAGTTTGAAGGAATTCATCTTGAGTGGACTCTTCACTCTGTTGAAACTAAGAAGTATCTACCCGAAAAACGGTAACCTAAAACTCTGTTTTTTCCCTTCTCTTAGACTATAATCTGTTTGTGACTTTGTTCTGACATGTTTTGATGTGTTTAGGTACTTTCATTTGACATGTAAGAAGGAGTTTCGTGAGAAGATCATGACGGATTACTTCACTTACTTGGCGAAATCAGCGGAGAAGATAATGAGCCATCGCGAGAATCTCAAGATCTATACTTACAATCAAGACCGGTCTAAATGGGAATCCGCTATTTTCGAGCATCATACGACGTTTGAGACTCTAGCTGTTGAGCCAGAACTCAAGAAGACTTTGATTGATGATCTTGATGCTTTCTCTAAAGGAAAAGAGTTCTTCAAGAGCGTGGGACGTGCTTGGAAGCGCGGATATCTTCTTTACGGTCCTCCGGGAACTGGAAAATCTTCTATGGTAGCTGCCATTGCTAATCATATGAAGTATCATATCTATGATCTTCAGATTCAGAGTGTTAGAGATGATGGTGAGTTGCGGGAGATTCTTACATCAACCAAGAACCGGTCGATTCTTCTTATTGAAGATATTGATTGTGGAGCTGATGCTTCTCGTAGACGTCAGACAAAGAAAAAGGAAGGAGATGGTGGAGAAGATGATGGTGAGCCACAAAAGAGAAAGAAGAAGTTTGAAGTTGGGGTAAGTTAAAAAATTCCTCTGTTTTGTTAAAATCTCTGTTTCTTTGTCTTATGAATTTTCTTCCTTATGGACAGATTTCGTTGTCTGGTTTATTGAACTTTGTTGATGGACTTTGGTCGAGCTGCGGAGAAGAAAAAATCATAATTTTCACCACCAATCACAAGGAGAAGCTCGACCCTGCGTTGCTTAGACCGGGAAGAATGGATGTTCACATTCTCATGGACAATTGTACTCCCTTTGTGTTCAAGAAGCTTGTGGCTTTGTACCTCAAAACCGATGAGCACGTGTTGTTTGATCCCATTGAGAAGCTCATCATTGAAGTGAGTTCAACTCCAGCTGAAGTCACGCAGCAGCTCATGGCAAGTAAGGACGCTGATATCGCGCTTAAAGGTCTCCTTGAATTCCTGGAAAACAAGAAGATGAAAAAGGAAGAAGATTCTAGTGTGGAGGAAGAGGGAGAGATTGAAGATGCTGAGACTAAAGAAGCAGAAACATAAGAAGATTATCTTGAAGACTTATTAGAAGTAATTCTTGTGTTTCAGCTCCTTTTGGTAATAAATATCATTGCTCTAGACCAGATGAGACAAATTGCAGCTGAAACTACATGTTGATGTATGAAAAATTAGGGGACATAGAGTCTCATAAATATATCTTTCTTTTTTTAATTATATAAGCAAATGTGTGATTGTATTAATGCTGTTTTGCTAAAAAAACCAGAACATGGAAGGAAAAAGCAACAGCTCAAGATCATAT